AGGCACCCCAAGAAGCAAGAATTGGGTATCACCCCAATTCCTTCATATGCGGGCGAAATGCTGCATATAGACATCTACTCCGCGGATAAAAAGTTATTCTTAACCTGCGTGGATAAGTTCTCAAAGTTCACCCATTAAATTCTAGGGCCATAGTTGACGTACGCAGCCCCATGCTACAATTGGTAAATTTTTTTCCAAATATCAAAACCATATACTGCGATAATGAGGCATCTCCTTCAATTAGGATACCATATCTTCGTTATTGAAAAACCAATATGACATTGACATCGTTACTGCACCCCCTTTACACAGCAGCTCCAACGGGCAAGTGGAGCGATTCCACAGCACCCTATCGGAAATAGCTAGCTGCATTAAAATTGACAAAAAAGTTGACGACACCGTCGAGCTCATCATGAGAGCCACGGTAGAGTATAACAAAACGTTACACTCAGTCACAAATTTGCAACCTAAACATGCCTTACATTCTGCAAGCGACGCTCAGAGGTTGGCAATAAAAACCAGTATCATAAAAGCGCAACAGGCTAACCTAGCGAGGTGTAACCCTACTAAGCAAAACCGAATTTTTGAGGTAGGTGAAAAGGTTTACCTCAGAAACAATAAAAGGTTAGGAAATAAACTAACCGCACTCTACACAGAAGAGCGTGTAGAAGCAGACATGGGAACGTCTGTCCTCATTAGAGGGAGGGTGGTCCATAAGGACAACCTTAGATAAAAAATTCCCTCTTGAATTTACATCTCCCACAATTTTTATGTCTTTATTCATGCACCTTATATTTAAGCATACTTATCTTTATTAGATGCACATTCAATTTATCCTTCGCCTTCTTACAGGAATGCCGGAATCATATTAATTACGTTAGCTATAGTTAACGCTAGGGTTACAGACTACTCTCATGCTAATTACATCCCCATAACAGACGGTGTTGCACTGGTGCGGGAACAGAGAAATTGGCTTAGGCATTCTAGTAATTTGTCCGAATTCGAAATGATGATAGAAGAGACTAGTAGGTTGTCCGAGCTGTTTCCAGAGTCGCATATGCGAAATTTGTTAGATGTCGATACCGACCATCTCAGAAGTTTATTGTCCGTATTGAAAGTACATCATAGGATTGCCAGAAGCCTAAACTTTCTAGGCTCCGCACTTAAGGTAATAGCAGGCACCCCCGATGCCGCCGATTTTGAAATGCCAAAAATATCCGAATCTCGATTAATAGAGTCAAATAATAGGCAAGTGGTCATTAATACGCAAACTCAAAACAAGATTAACGAATTAACAGAAGCAGTTAACAAAATCATTTGAGCAAAACAAAATAATATGGTTGACACTCCCCACTTGGGAGTGGTACTTACGAGGTACTCTTGGCTAGAAACAGAATATTAATAACCGAAATTCAAAATTTAATGCTTACCGTCACACTGACTAAAGCCAATATCATAAACCCTGCCATTCTTAACCATAACGATTTGAAGTCTGTATTAATAGATCACCCCACAGAAGTCCCCGTTATAAGCCTAATAGAGGCATCTAATATTAAAATCTTCCAGTCCGATAGTATTATCCATGTGATAATGCATATCCTAATATTAAAGCCACTTGTAGAAAGGTTACAATTTTTCCTGTATCACACCAACACATCGGAGAACATAGTAGCGGAATGCAACAACGACGTTCTGGCAGTCACCGATTGCGTATCAACAACTTACGCTTCGTACTGTAAGCTGGCTAACCAAGATACCTGCGCTCGAGGCCTGCACGCGGGGAGCACTGCACTATGCAAAACGCAGGCCAGCCATTTAAGCCCCATTACACTAGTAGACGACGGCGTAATAATAAACGAGTGCCCAGCTAAAGTCAGCACTGACGACGGTCCTGAAATAGATCCCAACGGCTCACATCTAATTATGTTCGAGCGAGTGGCTTTCATCAACGGCACCAAATACGCTAACCTACGTGAAGCTGCGTCCCCATTGCTAAACATCATCGGCCATGATCCCAGGCTAAGCATACCACTTCTCCAACGGATCAAGAACGAAAATTTGGAGATTATCCAAAGGCTTAAAGAGGAAGCGAAATCGGCTGGAACCGGCTGGAACTGGAATCAGCGTCTTCGCTTCGTCAGGTCGTTGACAAGTTGCAGATGACCGAGGACGGTCATACTTCAAGGGGGGAGTAGTTAACACGGTTAATGAGTAAACTTAAGTCGGTATAAGTTCAGGATCGCTACCCCAGTATTTTATATGCAGATTCAGCATAAAAGCCTTAGGGGCCGTTCCTGGTTCCCAACGGTTTCCCAGTATTGGGAGATATGCAGTTTTTGCTAGTGTCAGCACTTTGCTGGACGAGCGGTCGGCTTGCCGGCCGCGAATAGCTGGAGTAAAATAGAATAAGTTCAGTTTGATTTCAATTATAATAAAGAGCACACGCTCAAGAATCCTACTCCAGCGAAGGCTGCATATTTTATATTGGTTGGCTAGCCTTAAGGGCAGTCAATAACGGTCAGTCAATAAATACTATACCAAACTGCGCAACGTTTCGTTCACGAGCAGAGAAGATCTCCGCTCCCCTCCCCGATCGAGAGGCCGACCAAGTCGGGCTGACGACATCACCCCTTTCCGTTGGACTGAGACGTGGGACAACCCAGGGAAATAACTAAAACATAATTTATATATTCTTGATCAGAATCAATAGCCAAGTCGAACTGGCCATGTCAGTCTATCTGTATGAGCGCCTCGATCTCACGAAGTACAAAAACGAGAATGTTGAAATCAAGCATGCAGCTTCCAGACGCAGCGCAAGTTTGTTTTGCCACGCCCCCTCTAGCAACCACAAACCGCCCAACAACATGTCGACACTTTTGAAAATTTTTTTTCTTATTTTTCCAGTTTTTAGATATATACAGTTGCGGAGACATTAATAGCACCATAAGCACATTTCGTGTTTGTCCCAGCGTTTCTGTATTTTCTGACACTTTTTCATCATTTTACTCACTAAACTTAAATTCTACAATGATTTTCAATCGAAATAACAAAATTAGTAACAGATCTAATGGATATTTTAAAAATAATTGGCAAAACAAAAAGAAAACCTTCACATTTAGGCGATAACAAAAATAGCACTTTTTTTCGTAGTTTGCTAAAACTAAGCAAAAAAATAAAAAAATAATTCAACAAATGGATTATATCTTAAGAACTATGTTTAAAGAATCTTAATATTTGGTTGCGTGACCTTTGTTGGCGATGACAGCTGCGCATCGTCCTGGCATGGAGTCCACCAAGTCCTGGCACCGTTTTTGAGGAATTTTGCTTGGGCACACCCCAAAGTTCCTCGATATTATTGGGTTTGGCTTCAGAAACCTTTTTTTTCACGTCGCCCAAAGGTTTTCGATTGGATTCAAGTCGGGTGACTGAGCAGACCATTTCATTACTCTGATCGATTTCTGCTCAAACCACTTTCGAGCTTTCTTGCTCGTGTGTTTTGGGTCGTTACCTTATTGAAATGTCCAAACTAACGGCATTTCATCCTCGGCATATGGCAGCATCACATTTTCCAGGATATCTGTGTAAATATGCTGATCCATGATGCTTTGAATCCAATGGATCGGACCTACTCCATAGTATGAAAAGCACGCCCATACCATTATGTTTGATCCTCCGTTCTTTACCGTCTTAGAGGTGAAGCGAGGATTATATTCAGGTCGTGGTGGACGCCGAACATAAGACCGAGGGCCTTTTCCACCAAACAACACAATTTTGCTCTCATCTGACCACAAAATGTTGCGCCACTTCTCCACAGGCCAATCCTTGTGTATCTTAGCATATTCCATTCGCTTTGCCACATGCTTCACAGTCAAAAGCGGGACTTTTCTGGGACTCCACGCATTAAAGTTGTTTTGTCTTAAGCGTTTGCATACTGTTTTCACGCTTTCAGCTATCTGAAGCTCCTTCTTCAATTCCGTTGCCGGCTTAAAAGGCTCCTTCTTGCTTTGCCGAACCAAGCGCTTGATCGCCACGTTGGACATTGAGGGCTTTCTTCCACGTGTTTCGTTCTTTTCGACAAACAGCAGTGCTTTGCGGATCATTTTGTTTGAACAACCGAAAATTCGATCAATTTTAGCGTAGGTTTTACCTTCAGAGACCATGTTTCTAATCAAATTTCTTTATTCGACGGTACAATGCCTTCCGCGACCCATGACTAGAGAATTTTTGGTCTTCGTTTGGAAAAAATTCAATTAAAACCTTTAATGCAACTCCTTTTTTCAAAATTTGTCAAAAAAAAACCCAAAGCAATCACTCCTATTAATTTTATTCAGCAAATACGTGGTCAGTGCTAGTTTTGTTACCGCCTCATTTCGGGCGCTTTTACAGAAAGTGCCCAAAAACAAAAAGAACCGTTACATTGAGAGAGTAAAAATTTCTTGCTCAGAGAGACAACATATGGTACTTATTATTAATGCAAACTGACTTTAAAAAAAATAAACATTCAATCATTTTTTTTAGGAAATAAACTTTCCACCTGCAGTCGTGCTATTTTTTTAGCCGCAGCTGTATATATAAGATATATATCTTGTAAATTTTTATAGATTTGCCACGACCTCATTTTTGGAAAATTTAAATTTGTTTCCCTTTTATTATTCGTTTCCCAATTTCTACCGATATTTCAGAAAATGTTCTAATTTCCCGTTCGCACTTCTACTAGGTGCGTAACGGATACTTGATAGTCGGATAACTCGACTATAGGTTCTCTCTTGTTTTAATTTAGAAAATATATATTCCTATATTTATATTTTAAATTGAAGATATATAAATGAAATGTACATATTTTAGTGTTATTTAAAAAAGTTGTATCCACCTTAAAGTATCTGATTTAAGAAATGACAAAGGGGTTTTACTTAAATTATTATACACTTAAAATGGTTTCAACCTCTTAATTGAATGTATAATGTATAAACATTATAATGCATAATGTTTTTTGGATTTACCTTTGGATCCATGAACTAAATCGGGAAAAAAGAATCCATATTTTGAAGAACATGCTTCCAATTCGGGGCCCTTTGACTCTTCGACATTGTTTGCCTTAGTGCTCAATTCAGTTGTTATAAATTGTTTTGATGTATGGTCATATTTTTTTAACGTGTGTATAAGCTTAGCACGTCCTCGACCGACCGAAATGTTTACATGTTGAAGAGTGGTTATAAGATCAGTTTCAATATTATGGCCTGACAGCAAACATTCTCCACTTGATTCAGAATTCTCATATTCCAATCCACTGTCGATTTCATGATCTTCGTTTGAATTTGATATTTCCATATTGCGAATATTTTTATTAAATAAGCTCAACAAGTTTCCTCTTCCAGACATATTCTGAAAAAAAGAAATTAGAAATAAATGTTTTAGAATGTAAAAAGTAGTTTATCGGCAATGAGTATACCTTATAGTGTTGTCGTGAGAGTTTCTCACTATTTCATAGTTTCAGAGTAAGCTAGCCTTAAGGAGGGAACTACCTTTAGACATTAAAAAGATCTTTTTTTTTGTATTGTTTAAATCGATATGTATATTGCCTCAGAATATCGTGCCAAAGCTACATAAGCTAACTCTCGAAATTGTGTAGCGCCGAGCGACTATTTTTTTCTTGACAGCAAACTTGGAACGGCATTTTCTCGAAACCATGTTTTTCAAAATAGTATAAGCCTAATAATAAAAAAAAAAGAAGTCGAGTTCCGCGACTATCAGTGCGAACTAGAAATTTTTCTGGCATATTGATAGAAATGGAAAAAGACAAGAATAAAATTAAAAACTCTCAAAAGTGTGGGTGTGGCAAAATGTATTGGCAAAACGAAAGAAATTTAACAGACTAATAATGAAATGAACAAATTTCAACACATTTTCGAAAACTGTGGACGTGGCCGTTTTGGTCGGTTTGTGGGCTTGGCAAGGGTTAACAAACTTGCGCTCCGTCTATGTCTGTGGTATCTGAATGCTAGCTTTTGTAGTTCCTGAGATCTCGACGTTCACACGGACGGACATATGGACATTTCCAGATTGACTCCGCTTTTGATCATGATCAAGAATATATATACTTTATATGGTCGAAAACGATTCTTTCCGTCTGTTACATACTTTTCAACAAATATAGTATACCCGTTACTCGTAGGGTATAAGGGTGATTTTCAACATCTAGCATATACTTTAAGAGCATACAAAATTTTTGTATATGAACTAATGATTTTAAAACAAAACACTTTTGGACCCTTTTTGACTGCAAATAATACGATTTTATTTTGGTGGAAAATCCTATATTTTTTTTGAGCTTGTTTTAGGGTGAGCTTGAGGGTTAAATTTCGAATTTTCAAATATTTTAGTTTATCGACATTAAAAAAAACCCTCTCGAACTCCCTGGTGTGTTTTTTAAGGCTAAAATTGTGGACGCATCTTTTTTACAATCTACGATGCCAGCGGCGATATGACTTACAAGATCCTTGAAAAACTTTTTAAATTAATATTTTCACATTTGTTGAAGTTTTTTTTATTACCTCAGGCATCACTCTAAATAAATATTTTATGGATTTCAAACAGAACTGTCTTCGTTTCCCTTTCTTCCGTCCTTTAAAGGACTTTCTTCCTTCCACTGTGCAGGCGTTATCTATCTAAATCATCTAAATCAAACTCTCTATCTTTTATGAAACAAACTTAAGAGCAACCTTCAACACTTCTATTTACTGATATTAAGATTTATGATGCATCATCAGTGGATCGCTGTCGACTGGCATAACATAGTGACGAAACCAACCAGGAGAGTATTCGAAGAGAGTATTATTATTATTAAGTAGAAATTTCAACATTTTTATGCCAAAGTATATTGATAGAAATCGGCAAGAAAAATTGTTTGAAAATTATGAGCATACTTTATTTGGCATACCTACACAGAATAAAATTGAAAAAGTTTTCATAAGTGTGGGCAAGACAGTTTTGCGCTGTTTGTGGGCGCCACAATGTTTGGCATATCAATAAAAGAGCGTAAAAGTGGCTCACAGCTTATTTCAACCACCGTCTATCTGAAACTTCCAATGGTCTGTAAAAGCTGAACTAAAAATTATATCAAAAATATTTAAACGCAACAAATTTCTTGTATGTTTCAAGATATTTTTTACTAACTTATTTTTTTTTAATAATTTTTGTAGTATTTTTTTAAGAATTAATAATGAAAATGTACCTCAAAACAATGCAACAGCTTATTTCAACCAGTTTGTAAAATTGGTATTTTTTCTTATGCTTAAAACTATTACATTTTCTTTTTAAATTTCGTGTGACCTCCCTTGTTGTTAACAACCATTTTAAGAATTTCGGGCATCGAATCCACTAATTTTTGGGTGAGTTCTGGGGTGATTTTAGACCATTCCTCTACCAAAGCTACTTTTAGGTTAGATTTATTGGAAATTTGGCGTTTCCGGACGTTTGTATCCAAAATTGCCCGCAAATTCTCTATAACGTTCATGTCTGGCGACTGTGCTGGGGGTTGCAATACATGGGGACAATTCCACACTAGCCAGGTTTGCACAATGCCCAACTTATGTTGTGGGGGTCATTGTCTTGATAAATGCGAAAATGGTCCCGTATAGCCAGTTTCTCCGCACTATCCAAAAATTTGACAAAATATCGAGGTAACGCTTTTTATCCATCGTTGTCTCAATAAATTCGAGCTTCCCAAATCACACGATTTGTTTCGGAGCACATGTAGATTTGTTTCCGGGTGGCAAGACTTTCCTAACTCGGCTTCTAATTCGTTGGCAATTTTTGGAGCCGATAATCTGGGATTTTCCCGAATTTTCCGAACGATATGGCGCTCGTCCGTTTGATTAAAAATTTTGTTGGGATCATTTCTTCCCTTATCCTGCACTCAATTTTCTCGGACGAAGCGATAGATGATACTTTGGACTGTAGAATCACTCAGCGAAACCATTTCTGCAATTTCCCTCCGCGAATTTAATACAAGCTCTCGCTTTGGTAGAGGAATGGTCTAAAATCACCCCAGAACTCACCCAAAAATTAGTGGATTCGATGCCCGAAATTCTTAAAATGGTTGTTAACAACAAGGGAGGTCACACAAAATTTTTAAAAAAATTGAATAGTTTTAAGCATAGGAAAAAATACCAATTTTACAAACTGGTTGAAATAAGCTGTTGCGTTGTTTTGAGGTACATTTTCATTATTAATTCTTAAAAAAATACTACAAAAATTATTAAAAATAAAATAAGTTAGTAAATAATATCTTGAAACATACAAGAAATTTGTTGCGTTTAAATTTTTTTGATAAAATTTTTAGTTCAGCTTTTACAGACCGTTGAAGTTTCAGATAGACGGTGGTTGAAATAAGCTGTGAACCACTGTACTTCGTTCAAAAAAGTCTTAGGAGTGAATTGAGCCCGGTGTTTTTCTTAGTCTTCCGCTGGAAACATCTGTTTCCAGAGACCGCCTAAATTCTTTTCCAGAACAGTGTTCCACTAGTCCCTTAATGAATTCTATATCATTCGATGTGGAAGACTTTATGGTTTCTTTTAGTACATTGCCAGAAGAAAGCAATGCCACCTCCTTTCACAACGATTCGCCTTAGCCCAAAATAATGGGGAACAGCAGAACGCAGTCAAAAATACAAGCGCGCGATGCATTTTAAATAAGTAGCTAAATACCGAAATATGTATATATTTTTTGGTAGTACGTACAAATTACTTTGATATTCAGTTCCTTTAATGTTCCTCTTTATGTACGTACCACATCAAAAAAAAAAAAACCACACATTTCATATCTTTTGCAGGGGACATTTGCAAAATATATGCATTACTAATGCTATCGATAACAACATATTTGATCCACTTGAGCAGTATTCATTGTGATCCCGTCATAGTGAGATTCCAATCGACAGGCCCAGTACTCTCGCAAACAGAAACTGGGCCAAATATAATAAACTTTGTTCAGCCATAAATTTCTTGGTCGCAAATATACGGTCTTACAGGCTAAAACAAAATACATAACTATTAAGAATTGAAATGTAAACATGGACATTGTAATTAAAAAATAAATTGAAACTAACACAATAATAGCAGCAGTTGCTGCAGTGCTAGTAAGGATTGATTTAAACTCATTTTCAGATATGATTTAATATAATTTTCTTTCAAATCTATAGAAATTTTCAAGATACATTGAAAAAATATCACAACATTTTTCATAAGTATGGGCCTAACAGTTTTGTGCGTCTTGTGGGCGTTGAAGTGGGCGTGGCAAAAAGTTTTTGCCAAATTAATAGAAATTTACAAGGTATAAAAAAAAATTTTTAAATATAACCACATTTTGCAAAAAAATGTGCATGACAGCTTAGGGCGGCTTGTGAGCGTTGGAGTGGGCGTGGCAAAAATTTTTTTTTGAAGATTTATAGAAAGTTAAAAATATATTCAATAATAGGAAAATATCACATTTTTCAAAATTGTGGGCGTGACATTTTTGGCGGCTTGTGGGCGTGGCAAAAAGTTTTTTGGCAAATCTGTTGAAATATCATAACATTTTTCAAAAGTGTGGCCGGGACAGTTTTGTGCGGGTTGTGCGCGTTAAAGTGGTCGTGGCAACATTTGATCGACTCACTTGCGGTGCGCCTATGTCTCTGGAAGCTGCATGCTTAATCTTATTCTAGCTTTTGTAGTTCCTGAGATCGAGGCGTTCATACGGACAGACGGACATGGCCAGATCGACTCGGAAACGTGTTCTCTGCCTGTTACATACTTTTTAACGAATCTAGTATACCGTTTTACTCTACGAGTATCATAAATAATAATAAATTATAAATTTAAATAATAAATTGAAACTAATACTACAATATTTCTTGGACGCAGTCACAATCCTACTCTTCTTAAGATCTGTCGTGTCTTAGTTTCGCCAAGCAAACCTAAAGCTCATTAGGCAACTTACCCAAACGAACAACAATTCTCTATATCTACCGTTACAACCAGCGCCAGTGAAATAACATACGAGACATATAAGCAACAACACCAATATGGCAGAT